CCAAGACGCCTGTCACCAACAACTGTGAAGAGGTTTGTGGGCTTGGAATTCAAAACCTTAGTTTCGAGCTCAGCGCATCATCATCATGAGTTACAGCAAGAAGGATGAAGATGCCGACCAGGCAATCGTCAAGGTCGACAGGACCGCTGTCTTTCAAGAGGGTACGGACCACATCAGCTCTTCTGGCAAAGTCTTTTCACTGACACAAAGCTTCAGCTCGCCTGTTCAACTACTCCCCTATATCTCCTAGGAAATGTCGAATACTTCTTACCAAGATCGCCTTGCTCCTATTTACCGGGGAGACGTTTCCGTCGAACGAAGCTACAGACCTTTTCTTCGGTATCTCGAAGCTCTTTCAGAACAAGGATCCCTCTCTTCGCCAGATGATGTACCTCATATTCAAAGAGCTGGCAAGTTCTGCGTCGGATGTTATCATGGTGACGCAGAGTATTATGAAAGACACGGCAGAAAAAAGCGACGTTCTCTACAAGGCAAACGCGATCCGAGCATTGTGCAGAGTTATAGACGTATGCATGGCCCACGTAGTATGCGTAGACCTACTAAAGCTCCGCAGGCAACCACCGTACAAGCAATTGAACGGTCGATCAAGAACGCTATCGTCGATAAGAGTCCTTCTGTATCCTCTGCTGCCCTGGTTTCCTCGTACCATCTGCTTCCAATCGCTCGGGATCTGGTCAGAAGGTGGCAGAGTGAGACACAAGAAGCAGCATCCTCGTCGAAGTCATCAAGCGGCTTTTCTCTTGGCTTCTCGACATCTGGAAGCCCGCAAGCATTACAACCGAGTACGCACTTTATGAACCAGTATCATGCTATTGGGCTGTTGTACCAGATGAGATCACACGACCGCATGGCCTTGGTGAAAATGGTTCAACAATTTGGCACCCCTGGCGTTGTAAAAAGTCCCGCTGGCACAATCTTGCTGGTCAGATTGGCTGCCAAATTAATAGAAGACGACTCAAGCTTGAGGAGACCCATGATGCAACTCCTTGATGGCTGGCTTCGACACAAGGCTGAGATGGTCAACTTCGAGGCCGCCAAAGCCATCTGTAATCTTCGCGATGTCACTGATGCAGAAATGACCCAAGCCATCCATACTCTCCAACTTTTCCTAACTTCTCCTCGAGCTGTCACCAAGTTTGCTGCCATAAGAATTCTACACAATGTCGCCTCATTCAAGCCGCAAGCCGTTCAATCATGCAATCCTGACATCGAGACTTTAATCTCTAACACAAACCGGTCAATTGCTACCTTCGCTATCACGACTCTCCTCAAGACGGGAAACGAAGGCAGCGTGGATCGACTAATGAAACAGATATCTAGCTTTATGGCAGATATCACGGACGAATTCAAAATTACGATCGTTGAAGCCATAAGGACCCTATGTTTGAAGTTCCCCAGCAAGCAGGCTGGCATGCTGACCTTCCTGAGTGGTATACTGCGGGACGAGGGAGGCTATGACTTCAAGAGGAGTGTTGTTGAGAGCATGTTTGACCTGATCAAGTTTGTACCAGGTAGCAAGGAAGATGGTCGGTCCCTCAAATATTCCACGGAGTTTTCCACGGCTAACAAACATAGCCTTGGCTCATCTGTGCGAGTTCATCGAGGATTGCGAATTTACTAAGCTGGCAGTTCGAATATTGCATCTGCTAGGTGTGGAAGGCCCTAAAACTCCGCATCCGACAAAGTACATCCGGTACATCTACAACCGCGTCGTCTTAGAGAATGCCTTGGTCAGGGCCGCAGCAGTCACAGCGCTCGCAAAGTTTGGTGTTGGCCAGAAGGATCCTGAGGTCAAGCGCAGCGTCACTGTTCTACTGACTAGGTGCCTTGACGACATTGATGACGAAGTTCGTGATCGTGCGGCTCTAAACCTGAGATTGATGACCGAGGAAGATGAGATGGCGAACCGATTCATCAAGAATGGTACTTTGAGACAAATCGATAACGCTGTCGACCGTGCTGACAGTACTCGCAGACTCGATGTTTTCCTTGTCAACTTTCGAGCACCAACTCGTCATGTATGTGACTGCGGATGATAAGGCTACTTTTGCCACGGCGTTCGACATGTCCACCATTCCCGTTGTCAGTCACGAACAAGCACTGGCCGAAGAACGGACGAAAAAGTTGACATCAGCAACACCAACACTAAAAGCCCCAAGCACAGGTCCAAAGAAAGCGCAAGTCAATGGCACATCCGACAGTGCCGCTGCCGCCCTCGCCAATGCACAGAAACATTCGCAGCAACTGATGCAGATACCAGAGCTCAAAGCGCATGGCGCCCTGCTCAGGTCGTCGCCTCCTGTCGAGCTTACGGAAACGGAGACAGAATACGTTGTCAGCGTTATTAAGCACATATACAAAGAGCATCTTGTCCTGCAGTATGAGATCAAAAACACCATGACCGATACCGTGTTAGAAGAGGTCTCCGTCGTTGCCACACCGGCCGAAGATGAAGAATCATTGGAGGAAGACTTCACCATCCCCGTCGCCAAGCTGGCCACGGACCAGCCTGGCACGGTTTTCGTGAGCTTCAAGAAATCCAGCGACGTCGCGTATCCCGTCACATCTTTCACCAATGTCCTTAAATTCACAAGCAAGGAGATTGATCCTACCACTGGGGAGCCAGACGAGAGCGGCTACGAGGATGAGTACCAAGTCGAAGATTTGGAGCTCTTAGGCAGCGACTACGTCACGCCCGCATTCGCTGGTAGCTTCGACCATGCATGGGAGCAAACCGGCGCCAATGGCGAGGAGGCCTCCGAAACGCTACAATTGAGTAGTGCTAAGAGCATAGCAGGTGAGTATTGCTATTGCAATCTCAGCCAACATGCAAAGACTGACTTTCTCTTTCGCAGATGCCACGGAACAGCTCACGAAAGCGCTCTCTCTCCAGCCGCTCGATGGTACGGACGTCACTCTCTCGACCAGCACGCACACCCTCAAGCTGTACGGCAAGACCCTCGGTGGAGGCAAAGTTGCGGCTCTGGTGAAGATGGCATTTTCGGCGAAGAGCGGCGTAACGACAAAGATAACATTAAGAAGCGAGGAGGAGGGCGTTGCTGCTTTGCTTGTTGGAAGCGTGTCTTAGACATTATGTTTCTTCTGCACGGACACTAATGCATAGATGTAGGTAGTCAGAAGTCCAAACCTTACTGTCTGTGAAGTATTTTTCTTGAATACGTCCTTGCCACACATCTCGCCTTTTTATCGATAATCCTATGAATGCAATCCGCAAAGGGCTCTAAGTTTATTACATAAACCCGGCCTCACTGTAACGGTGAGCAACACTGGGAGAGACAGTTGCTTCAGTCTTCACTTCTACAAGTCACCGTAAAACAATGACCTAACGGCACGCGAAAATTTTACTCGGTGAAAGTTCGAGAGTTTTTTATGGGGGTCCCTCCAAAGGACTTGCAAGTTCGTGCCTTCTCTTTTGATTGAGATAGAGGTCGTTGATGAAACGAAGTTTATACCGAGAGGTCCGGCGCGGAATATGGGCCACGCATGGCGCAAGATGCAAAGCGTAAGTATAGCATAAGCTCCAATGACACCTTCCCCACTCACGAGGTACCAGCAGCCTCTTCGCACCGGGAGAGATGCACAGCCAGGTAAACACGCATTCACTCGGTATTTAGTCCACCCTATCAATATTGCTTGTTTCTGCCGTACGTGTTAGCAACAACGAAACAAGGATGCAGCTAGGAGCGAAGGCTCTTTGTGGTCGTAAGGAAAGCCTTCCCTGACCTCTCCTTGTTAATTTGATCACATCAGACGAATTCAAAAATAGGGTTTTTATATCATTTTTCTATCGTTCGTTTCAAGTGATTAATTAGATCTGCTACGGCTAGAAATCATTAGACATCCCCTCATCACTCTGGATGTATGCCGATGTACGTCCTTGTCCATCTCGTTGTTGGGGTCGTATGCTGCCTCGTTACCTTCCTTGTGTAAACACCCTTACCCCCCCTAGCCCCTCGTTGCCCGTCTCGTGCAACCCCTCCTCGTATAGCCTTTCCTCGTGGAGTTGTAGTCCCAAAGTACGCCTGACTGTCAAGCCGAGCGAGATCAACTAACGAGGGCGACTGTGCGCGAGACTTTAGGTACTCGATCGACCTTAGCTCCGGTTCGAGGTTAACCGATTAGAGAAGCTGTACGCCTGATATGCTTGGTACCGTACTACACGCGGAATAGATAGGGGTTGTCCGCGTAGGGCCAACCTATTTGAATTGAAAAAAAGAAAACATAAAAATAAAAGCTAAACTCCCCATAAGAAGATAAGAAGAAATAATTGCGAGCTGCTGATGCGGCTGATGGTGAAGCTGTAGAGATTGAAAGATCCCTGTCACGTCGGTTGGATAAGGTACCTTATACGGGTTAGTTACACGTTGATACCTTAGTCTACTTTACCCGAACCGAGGGGACGGGCGGTTTCGGCACGCTAGAGTAGGTACCTTACTTAAGGTACATGTACCGTATGTACAGTACACCGAGATATGATTGGTGCGGCCCACAATGAATATAAGTATACGGAGGAACAATGCCACACATCAGTAATGACATTCCTTTCAAAGAAAGCCGACAGGAGGATTAGCCAAAACTACTCCATTGTAAGCGGGTACGAGTTGCGGTGTAAAGAAGTCTCCATTCGGCATGTTTGAAGAGGTGGAGGCTAGACAGCGAAGTCGGTGAGTGTTGCTCAAAAGCTGGCACCGCTTTTCGGAGGAAGAAGAAGAAAGAAGGAGAAAGGACGGCTTCCACGCCAACTTCACTTAATTATTTCCTCATACCACGGAGCTTTTTCTCATTTTTCTGACTATCCTTAAGAATGGACAATCGCCCCTGCCCGACACCTTCCGAATCTTCTGTCTTTTCCTTCACTTCCAAACTCCTCCACCCAATTGCCTCTCTCAGAGTACAAATTCCCAATCCTCTGAACCTCTCTCCATCTTGCTTCCAGCTTGTCTGCCACACCTTCTTCAATGTCTCCAACCCAATTGCCTTCCTCAGAGTTAGAGCATCTCAAGCTGACGCAAGTCTCCAAAGATGCCTTGGCAAAAGCACACTCCTCATACACCCACCGCAATCCAACCTCTCTCCACGCCCACCAATTAGCCTGCCAATGCCAGCCAGGTGGTAACACAAGGACTGTCCTCCATGCCAACCCTTTCCCCCTAAACTTCGCCTGGGGCAATGGATGTACCCTCAACTCCCTTGACGGTCACACCTACACCGACTTCCTTGGCGAATATACTGCCGGGATCTTCGGACACAACGATGCTACCATCCGTGCAGCAATCGACGAGGCTCTTACTCGAGGATGGAGCCTTGGTGGGAATAATATGTATGAGAAGAGGCTTGCCAAATTGGTCTGCGAGCGATTCACGCCTACAATGGAGCTCGTAAGGTTTACCAATTCTGGCACCGAGGCGAACATGATGGCTGTCGCTACCGCAATGGCATGGACGGGTCGAACAAAGATCCTAGTCTTTCGAGGCGGGTACCATGGAGCTACTCTTTCATTCCGCAACCCGCTAGAAGGATCCGCGACAAAGAGCGTCAATCTACCTCATGAGTGGGTGGTTGGTACATACAATGATATCGCTCGGACCGCAGAGGTCCTCTCGGCCCTCCCACCAAAAAGCTTGGCTGTCATCCTGGTGGAACCAATGCTAGGTAACGCAGGTGCGATCCCAGGCTCTCTTCCATTCCTACAATACCTTAGGTTCTACGCTTCCTCCCACGATGCTCTCCTCATCTTCGACGAAGTCATGACTAGTCGCCTTTCCTATCGCGGATTGGGTCATAAATTAGGCATTCAGCCTGACCTCATGACCCTGGGCAAATGGGTTGGGGGAGGGATGAGCTTCGGAGCGTTTGGGGGAAGGCGGGATATCATGGAGATGTATGATCCCCGTAAGAGTGGAGGTCTGGCGCATGCCGGGACTTTCAACAATAATGTCATTAGCATGGCTGCTGGATGTGCGGGATGTGAAGTTTTGGATGAGGAAACTACTAATCGTCTGAATGATCTGGGGGAACGGTTGAAGGAGATGGTGACGGATGTCATTGAGAAGCGTTTGTATGGCGATGTACCTCATACGGATGGTGCCGATGAAGGATCCTTGAAAGGTAATGCGACTTCACTTTGGCCCAGCGAGAATGCTTTCTAAATGTTCACTCATTCTTAAACCCTCTCTCATATTCTCTTCGATTCGCATTCGACACAACAACTGACTTTCCTCTAGCCCCTGGTCACCACACCACGAACGGTACTACCAATGGCACCCTTTCGGATACTCATCACCATCAATTCTCAAACGGAACAACAATAAATTCACCAATGTACATATCAGGCATCGGCTCCATACTCGCCATCCATTTCCCCCCATCATACCCCCACCTCCAATCCCTCTTCTACCACCACATGCTCTCCAAAAGCATCTACCTAGCTGAGCGGGGATTTATAGCGTTAAACATCAAGCTGGGGATGAATGACGTGAAAATGTTTGTAGAGGCGACGGGGGAATTCGTGGAGAGGTACAGGGGTATGATACTTGCGTGCTAGAATGGGATGACGGTTGGAGAGAAATGGGGGGGGGCTGGTGGTGGGGGGGCACAATAGTGACTCGAGACTACCTCAAACGTCCATGCAGCAAGCAAAAGGAATCCGAATCACCATACAACCCAAAAGATCACCCCGCTCCTCCCATTCCCCTCCAACCTCCCTCCCACCTCTCCAGCCAAGCCATCAGAAGAAGCAGCAGTCTTGCCCAAGCGTCAGCAATAACGCAGCACGGGCTAAAGGTCCGGGAAAGACGGACCACTTTGAACCCCCCTCACCCCCAACGGCAGAGCCCCCACGTTCTACCTAGCTACCTAGCCACACGAGTATATTCCCTCCCTTGACGTACGTACGCATCCTCCTCCCACGCTTGAACTACCCTAGGGAGTAAACGGCTCTAGCTAACGTAGTATGTATGTATGTATATATGTATGTGAGTTCTAGAAGAAAGAAAGAAAGCCACATTCTATTCTATTCTGTTCTGTGGATAGGCTGGATGCTTCTATACCTCAGCCAATACTAAATAAAATATTGTTAATATAATTTTAGGGTGGCTACGCTATATTTATATAGGCGCTATATTAAAATAAAGCGCGATATTATTAAGATATCGTTATTATTATTAGCGATCTTACTATTATTTATAATAAGATAAAAAATAAGATAAGAAAGACTTTTAATAATTTATTTATATTATTATCTATTAAGACGAAATTTATATAAGAAATATAGCGAAGTTAACGATTTACTATAAAGATTTTAAAAGATTTTACTATTATCTTTTATAAGATAAAGAAGATTTCTAGATAGCTATTAAGGCTTATAGACGTTATTATTATTTAAAATAAAATTTATATAAGAGATATAGCGGAGTTAATAGTCTATTATAGAGGGTTTAAAGATATCTTATTGTTATTATAGAGAGAGAGATTTTATTAAGAGACTATCTACTTCGTATTCTTTATATAATATTATCTTAAAGATATCTTTAATTTAGCTATATTATATCTATTATTAGCGAGCTTTTTTAAAGTTTTTTAGATATTCTACTATTAAATAGAGTCTATTATTTAATATAATATAGCTATTTATTAAGCGAAAACTCGTCTTTTTATATTATTCTAACGAGAAAGTAACTTAATATATCTCTAAAATATGAAATAATTTTAGTATTATTAACGCTAGCTTCGAGAATATTATTAAAATAAATTTATAAAGCTTATTACTCTTTTAAGAGTATTTTTTTTATTTATCTAGAAAGATATGTCAGGACCAGCATAGGTGCGATACCAGTATGGGTGAGGTAGAACGAGGATAATAAGGCTACCGAACTATGTATGTAGGAAGGAGGCATGATATAGTAGGGAATGCCTCCTGCCAAGGCCCGCTAGCCATAGGGCTGAGGGCTGAGTGGTGTGTCAAGGGTACGCTCGTAACACTACCCCCCTCTCAATAGCCATGGCCCCCCATGGCTGGTAGACCGGAGATGCACGCCCATTGCTTGCCCTGTGTCTCCAAACATCCATAGTCCGTGTAGGCCTCGACCGGAGACGATTTGCCGAGGTGTAGCGGTAGCAGTCGAAAACATCGGATGATTTTTTGCCGGATCGCATGCTGGTCTTGACTGTGCCATACCTGCATTGTCCTTCAGAGATCCTGGAGATATTGGCCATATCTTGCCTGCGTGCCAGCAAGATTCTCCGAGTTCTTCTCCTTGCCCAGTCTGCTTGCCATAGTCCTCCACTTTTTTTTGCCTTCAACACCTACTGGCAGCCTGGCCTGGGAGCTTCACTGTAGATTTGTCCTATGTCTCCCATGCTCTTGCCATCAAGTCCATCAATAGAATTGAAGAAAATCCAACGCATGCATTCACCTCCAACACCTTTTGGCAGCCTGGCCTGGGAGCTTCACTGTAGATTTGCCCTGTGTCTCCCATGCTCTTGCCATCAAGTCCATCCTGCATTCCATCCTTTGTCTCAACTCTGTCGATTCGTAGGTGTGGTAAGGAGGTAGGTGGTAAGAATCGAATGTATTGAATGCCATTTGGTAGCAGGCTCACTATGTAAATGCCGCACATGCCCTTGTAGCAGGCTCACTATGTGTGTTATCGACATGCTCAGTGAAGAGGTCGAATCGAGTCGTTTCGGGGCTGTTCCCGTCGCCATTGTAGCAGGCTCACTATGTGTGTGTTGTCGACATGCTCAGTGAAGAGGTCATACCTTTGCTGCCATTGTAGCAGGCTCACTGTGTGTGGGGTTTGTGACGATTTCTTTCTATTATCAATTCGCTAGTCGTACGAATAGTCCCTGTGCCTTATTTATCCCTCGCCCACTGTTCTGGCGAGGCCGTTCCGCTGTCCCGTTAGGCTCTTTGGAATCGAGTTACCCGTCTGGTGGGCTTACCCAGGGATACGATGTCTCATCCATTTAAGGCGTCTTGACAAAGCCCCTGCCAGCGCATTTCTTTGAATTCGTCCGCTAATTCGAATGGAGTGTGCCCGAATTACATTTCTCTTCGCCGGGGGGTACGAAGGAGCCTTATTATAATGTCAGGACCAGCATAGGTGCGATACCAGTATGGGTGAGGTAGAACGAGGATAATAAGGCTACCGAACTATGTATGTAGGAAGGAGGCATGATATAGTAGGAGATGCCTCCGCCAAGGCCCGCTAGCCATAGGGCTGAGGGCTGAGTGGTGTGTCAAGGGTACGCTCGTAACAAGATAAATATATTTATAAAAAAAGAGAGAGATAAAGAGTTTTAAGAGAGATAATAATAATCTAAACGCGTTAGAATAGATAAGCTTTAATATTCTTAAAGCCTTTATATTATAAAGATTAGCGTATAAAATAAGAATATAATATTAAGATTATTAGAAATAATATATATAAAGATTTAATAATAATAAAATATAAGAGAGATAGAAGAGTAAAGGGTAATAATAATAAAATATAAAAAAGACGATAAGATTAGTTAGAATATATTCTCTATTTATTACTATAACTCTCTTACTAATTAAAGAAATATAGTTAAATTAATTTAATAGCTCTTCGATACTATATACTAGCGTTGGCTAAGGTTTAGAAGTACTCGATAGGCCGGCCGGCTTTGGCTGGTACTCTTGTCTACTCGTGCTGTCCAGAAGTGAGTTCTTTGATAGAGCGAGGACACCAATAAATCCTTCCACTTAGCCGAATATCGGTTAATCTATTGGTGTCCTCGCTCTATCAAAGAACTCACTTCTGGACAGCACGAGTATGTGCGAAGGAGATTGTTGCTTTATATTTATATATATATATGTATACGTGGGTTTATATACAGCATAGTGCACTGTAGTCTAGTGTAACTTCCCTAGAGTACAAGGATTGGATTGGATTGGATTCAAGCGGCTTTCGTCGTCGTGTCTTCTTGGCTGGTCACGTGTGATGTTGCTTTTGCATCATCATCATCATCATCATCATCATCTCTGCTTGAAAACTAGGGTAAATATATACACACATACATACATACATACTCCATGTGCAAAGCGGGCTCAATCTCTCCAATCTGCGCTACAGTACGCATACCATCCAATCCATTTAGGACTTTCCTACACCGAGTTCTCATCGCGTCTCGTTTGGATTTCATCATTCACTGCGCGTCTCTCTCTCTCTGTAAATGCTTGCTAGCTAGTTAAAAATAGACAATTTACACTTCATCTATTCTGATAAGAAAATAAGATAAAAAACATGCATGCATGCATATATGTATGTGTTTATTCTAGATTTTGTCAAGCAAGAAATAAAGTGGAGGGAATCGTTTCGAGAAACCAAGGTGGCTGAGCGACGACACATACACGAGGAACTGCGCTTCTCTCTCTGTAGATGCTAGCTAGATACAAGAAAGAAGTGAAGTGAAGTGGGGGAAATCGTTCGGGGACTTTGGTATCAAGCAGTGAGAATCCTCCGCTACTGATGGACGGACACGTCGGCCCCATCACACGTATCTGAGGGATCGTGGTTACCCCAGGAAAGCGCCCTCTCTCGGAGCTGGTGGTGAGTCGCTTTCAATATCAATCCAAAAAATCAAAAAGTAAGAAAAAGAAGACCAACAAAATCAAAGGCCGCATCCAAACACCACCCTTCCCTTAACCCCCCCCCCCCAACCACCACCAGGAAAAATTAAATCTGGGGAACCGTCTGCCGCCCCTCGCCGCCCTGGAACGTAGTCCTTGAGCTGACGGTGATGCGGCGACTCCGCTGGAGCTCGCGGAAACCCTCAACGGGCGCGCAGCGCCGCCGCCAATCCGCGACGTACTCTTTGAAGTGGGCGGTGAAGGTCGCGGCGTCTGTTTGCGCCCGGATTTAGCCTTCCTCGACGACCCTTGACGTCCGGACGTGGGGTGAGTGCCATCGGTTCGCGGTGGGGTGGGTGGGTTTGAGGATTGGGGCGTAGAGGGGGGAAGATGGGGGAGGGAAGGAGGAAAGAAAGAAAATGAAAGAAAAAAAGAAATGAAATGAAATGAAGGACCCATACCATCCTCACAATCAAACTCAAACTCCAGGCTCTGGAAATCCTCAAATCCCGCCTCCGCCCGTTCCTGATCTCCGTATCTGATGCCCCGACGATC